TGGCTCGATTATGCTGATACAATATCTAGGTATTATCAAGATGGCGGGGAAAAAGCGATTAGAGAGATTGACAAAAAAATTGCTGATCCTAATATTAAAGCATATTTACTCCATGAAATTAGAATGCGTAATAAATAAAATTTTAAACTAACATACTACGATATATTTGTTATTGGTAGTACCTATTAACTCAAGGTACAAAATATTAAAAACGATTATACAATTATCTGGCTTATTATTTCAGATTTGTTATTCGAATTCAATTAGTTAGCGAAAGTGGAGACTAAAACAGCATTCACTAGAAAACGATTTATTTATTAAAAAATAAATAACCTATGCATGTCTAGTTGGACATTTATTTTGGGATGATCATAGAACTCTTCTCCGTCACTTGGTTTACATATGTAGAAAACGGGATTTCCAGTATATTTTTTTTTAATATTATCTATAACTTGGTCCACCACATTGGCATGTACCTATAATAAAATATTGAAAAAATTAAAGAAAAATAAACCAAACTTGAAATATTTTATACATTTATTACGACTTACCAGTGTCACGGTACAGCCTCCAAAGCCGCCTCCGGTCATTCTACTGCCCAAAACACCATCAATTTGCAACGCCAATTCCACCAATTGATCAAGTTCAGGACAGGAAACGTCATAGTCGTCGCGTAAAGAATTATGACTCGCATTCATCAATTGTCCAAATTTGTTATAATCTTTTTCTTTAAGGGCCACAGCACCGATTGCGGTTCTCTCTATTTCAGTGATCACATGTCTTGCACGTTTGATTAACGTGTCATTCGCATCAATCGATTTTAAGTCTGTAATGTTGGTATCCATGTTAAAAAATTGATGCATGAACCGAATTTTTGTCAATTTACTGATTTTTGTGTCTTTATATATATATATATATATATATATATATATATATATATATATATATATATATATATATATATATATATATATATATATATATATATATATATATATATATATATATATTTAAATCCTGATACAAAATCTTAAATATGAGAGAAAAGAAATATAAAATACAAGAAATATTAGTAGGCAGGTGTGTTATTCTCTGTTTTATTTTCCCGGTTGTGTTTTTAAGTTAAATTGTTTATTTATTTTATTTATTTATTTATTTTCATTTATTTATTTATTATTACTAAATATCAATAAATGTTAGTAAAGACATTTAATTACGTAAACATTTCCTTATTTTCATAAAAAAAAATTCTGTTGAAGTGACCAAGAAATGCTTTCTATAGTTCAACCTCAAAAGTCCTCGTAAATATGTTTATGAACTTTTTTCTACGTCAGTATTCTACAAGCGACCTAAAATGCGTCAACACCCTTCGTAAAAGTAGTATAATATAACAACGTTTGAGATTGGGCTACGTGTTGTCTCTGTTTGATAAAAATGTTTAATAGCAAAAACGGAACTGCCCCTTCTATAGTCTTTACTTATTGTTCCGTGACTAAAGTGAGTTTTTATTGGATATCGATTTTCTATGTCAACTGATTAAATCATCACGGTATAATGCAAAAGGAATGTAACAGTAGTCAATTATTGTCAAACTCTTCTCAAATTACTTACAATCAATATCGCTTTCGTTGGCATCTCGCAGGCTGACCTTTTTCAGAATTAAAGCCGCTTCTTGACAGTGCTTCCTTCTTGTCGAATATTCGCTACCAGTTAGCTCGTGTTTGACGTTAGAGTTTGTAATGAGAACAACAATTTCCGGGTCATCGAGCGGAATAAGTTCTGCTGATAAATTTCTGAAAATTCGAGCTTTGTTCAGCACACTCTTGTTTATTTGCTTAGTAGTGAATGGGAACATTTATTAAAAATCTCGTTGCACCTTCTTTCATTTCCTAACATATACCATAAGATTTAGTTGACGCAAATATGAACATAGGCTGCTACATTTTTCCAATGAATTCATTCCACAAATACCTACCACCAATAAATAATCGGCACGCCCATGCCTTACAAAGGAAATACCGAAGCTAAACGAATAACTTCGGAAGTTACGAAATGTCCCTAACCGAAAAATAGCTTCAATCTGTGCGAAGAAATTAACTTGACCTATTTCTTAAAAATTGATTTTTCTAATGGCAATTTAAAATACGCCAAATACTTTTAATTACATAAAAAATTGGCTACATTGCGACCTTCTAGTGAGAATATCAAGGAAACAAGAACGTTAGTACCAGTTAAATAACTATTCGTTATTGTATCAGCAATTTATTGTATTTTTCCTTAAGATTTGCCACCCACTATGAAACGCTTCGTTTAGTTTTGTTTCCTATGCTGACGGGCCGTGATGAATCTACAACTCGAGCTTTGTGGGAAAAACTTAAAAAAGTCTACTCTAATTTCAGTGTTACTAGACCAATATTTTATTTGTGCGCTTTGATGTCATTACGTTTTGGAAATTTCGAAAATGGAGTCTTATGTTTCTTAAGTAATTGAAACACCTCAAAATTGAAAGAAAGGGGATTTTCTATTAAAGATAAATGGATAGGATCACTATCACCATTATTGTCGGGAATACCCAAGAATTTACCCATGTTCATGACAATGGAACATAGAAATTGGCACAGAGAGCAAAAGTGAAAGTTGCCCGAGAGGCGTGTAGATGGCGCAGGTGGTAACTCGCAGAACCCAGGCTTAACAGCACAGGGGAACTAGCGGAAAACGCATAAAAACGATTGCTGCAAAATGGGAAATGTTAATGTGGCAAGCAATTCAGTCCTTAAGTATGGGAATAACCGATGAAAACAAAGATAATTTCTCAACACCTGGTAAAGGTAGTGTGCTAAGTGTGGTACTAATGAATGGATGCTTTAGGCCTTACTAGTATATTATCTAAGTTTATGATAATGTAAGATGATCAATAGTGAGGCAAATGTTTCCCGTCGCCCAGTCTATATAAAATGGGGACAAGCTTCAAATTTCAAATTTTCAGTTGGCAACTTCAACTTCAAACATTATCAAGTCGCTGTCTGAAGTGTACAACTTGGTATGTAGTCAATTAATTGAGTTCCTGAGAATGGTTCAAGTCATGTTACTTTTTAAAATCGAGCTTAAATAGTCTTGTTTTTTTGCTTTTTGAGCTATTACGTACCTACAATCGATAAGTAGGGCATTTCCTTGTTTTCCCATAACTGATATGAATTGGTCCATAATGCCGCAAGGCATTCCGGCGTACTGGTGCTCGGCTTTTTGGCAAGCTAATGCTTTTTGGTTGGAGCTTAAAGTGATTCAGAAGTAAAGTTACGGTACACATTGCGGGTGGCTACTTACTTAGTATTAGTGTAACCGGTGAGGCTGTCCAAAAATGTGTAAGTGCTGACTTCAAGCGCGGCACTGCTTGATAGGCCACCCCCCGTTGGGACGCTACTGTGAATTACGGCTTGAAACGCTGGCGGGGCTGGCCCGATGTAGTTCGCTATTACACCTAAAAGCGTGAACTTATGAAACCTAACTTTATGCCATAACATTTTTTCTTGTTCTGTTTTTTAAGATTTTTGTCAATATTTACAAATAAATCATTGCTCTGAGAGACCGCATGAGTTATGATTTCAGCCATTTTGAACTATGTATAGGCTAAAACTTGTTACTGACAGGCTTGCTAGGTGACAAATTATATAAAGTTTGGTAGAGAAGCTTCGCAAGTCTTTACAATAATATGGTTTATCTTCAAATAACTAATGAAGTACATAGCAATCTCTCTGGAGAAGTTTCAACCAGCTCTTCCAATAGGGACGCTCCTTTAGGTTGCTGTTAAAAGGGATTTAAAAAAAATGATCTCACCTACACAGATCCTTGATGAATATGCAATGCAATTTTGTGTGTAAACTTCTGATTACTCAGCACATTATCAAAATGGTGAACGCTAAAGATTTTGATATGCTTTTACCTTTAACGTAAAGGCCCCATTTAGGTCCGCTGTGTTCTATGGTTCTCACCAAGGCGTTTTCGTTAGGCATTTCGATGGTTATTTTTCTGGGCAAGTCGGCATCTTTGTTGAGCGTTATTGCAGTTGAAAATTCCCCACCGATTTTCCTGCCGACAATAACGGTCACTAATGGCAGCGCCTGAAAATCGAGAATATGACCAAGGAAGGAAAAATGATGAACAGTTTTGAGCGCAAAAAAACTACCAGTGGTTTTTTTGCCCGACCTGGAGACTCAAGCTAACTTGTCGTAGTTTGTGGACCACAAAGGGTGGTGTATTGATTAAAAAGTGAAATTTCTGGCAACTTAAAAAAGTTGGCATTCTATTGGAATAAATGAAGTTATAGCAACTTTAACATTCTTATTAGATTACATTACATTTTTGGAAATCTTGTTAAGTAAGATGTGATGTTTATTACAATTTGAATATAAAATATTGTTACATTTCACTGGAGATTTTGCTGGCGTAAGCTTCATAAATACTTGAAACATTAAATAACTGGATTACATTATGACAAATTCAAATTAGTATTTGAAAAACCCCATGGTTTAGGTGTCATTAAACTAGGTACCTTATTTTCAAAATACTGAAATATACAAAGAAACCTTTTCAATAAGAAGTAAATTTTAAAACAAACCGTAATAGACTTTGATGTATCCCAATAGTAAGTTAAGTAACTCTGTGTATGAAAGTATAAAGAAACACATACCATAGGCATTACAAATCCATCATTATAATCAGTATGTTCTCCGATCAAATTGACTCTGCCGGGCGCCGCCACTGCTATTTCGGGTTCGCCACCAAATTCCTCACGAAACGCTCGTGTCGCTTCGGCTAGGAGAGTTTCGGTCGATACGATGCATTCCGCCATTTTTCCAATATTAACTGCTTGACGTTTCTCTTTTATTTGGCTAAACAACAACGTCAAAAATCGCCAAACTCTGCGCGACAGGTGTCTTTATTAATCTGACATTGGAATGAGAATCTGCTCAATTATTCCATCTCGAATTGCATCGTAGTATCGTGGCTCGAGTGTTTTGGTGTTGTCGGTTGATGATAAGCAATCCCCACACATAAATTCTTTCCTATAGCAATAAACAATACTAAAAGCCTGATAAGGAATGTCAGTCACTGACCCGTTAATAAAGGATTTAAAAGGTATATAGACCATAATGTGCGGTTATCCTCCGACCTAGTTCTCCACAGAAAGAACGTCTTTTTACTGTTCCAATTTTGAAGCTTGTGTTTGTTGTAATTGCTTACTAAAGGCTAGTTACCTTTAAAACTGCGGTTAGGCGCCAGTACAGAGGGTTTCATCGTCCCTCATTTTAAAAGTGGTGTTATGCTTTGCTTCAAACACTTTTATTTGCCATCCCAATTCGACTGGGAATTCACAGTGATTTGACGGAAGGCTAATATTTCGAAGCTATCTCGTCCATAATAAACTACGTACAAAGAGGTTTATCCAAATTTAGAATCCCCAGTAGCTAATTTTGCAACATATGTTCTGGAAGTACTCTTCAAAAAACCATCCATCGACACATTTTTGCTAGCAATGTGCGAAATTATTAATCTTGTACCTTTTTAAATTTTTAATATACCATGTTCTACCAACGGTAATATTCGTCATTTATATAAGTTGCGTCGAGGTATTTTTTATCTAGTTTTACTAATCCGTTTCTCAGCAACAAATTCAAAAACTCCAGCTATTTTCAATAATTTTGCCAACAACCCGGAAAGCAACAATAATTCAAATTTTAAACACTAAGGCACAATACCACTAAGTTTTAATGTTCAATATTGATTTATAACTTTCGCGCATTCAGAAATAGAGCATAGTGTCTTTTATGAAGTTTTTATCAACTCACTATCATATATCAGTTGCACCAGCAAAAGCGAGATATTTTTTCATATAATTAGGGAACATTTTCTCCTACATATTTATTAAAAGTCACATTTTAAACTTATTTAGGGCCAGCAAAAAGGCCAAACAACAGAACAAACAATAAGACCAGGGTGATATAAATAGTGTTGAGTGAAGTGTAGAGTGACGCCATTTTGTTTAATTTTATTGTAAAATCTTGATTTAGTGATTTAAGCATTTTTACCGCAGGGTTTAATGCCGTTTACCACACTTGTTACATAAGATACTATAATTATACTTTAAGTTCCTCCAAAACGGTTTCAAGGGAGTAGATTTGATTAGGTGGTATAGACATTATGACATTATTGTTCTGCAAGGGTATTAAGTAATTAGTTTATCTAAATGCTCACCTCGGTTGGAAATAAATGTGATTTACTTTAGAAAAGAAATTTAAACAAACGCTTAGGCAAGCATACAAACAGGTGTGGGATTTTCTCTCTATCTCAATAAAAAAAAATGCGGACCCACCTTTGTGAGAATTTAATTTTTTTATCGTGTTTATAGGTCAAATAATTATTGGAAACAATGGAAACAGACAATTATTGTAAATACGTGGTGGGTAGCTATTTGACATGCTAGTTGCGTTTTCAATTCAAAATTTTTGTGACTTCGTCCTACCGAACTATTGCTTAAACATATAAAATCCATGGTGTGCCTTCGATTTTAGGTTTCGTTCAGCATTTTTTAACACTCGCTAATGAAAACGTCAAAATAGTGGACAACGACTTTTACTTCGTCTCATTTGCCCAAACTTTGGAGAAAATTTTCAATAAAGGCATCATCAGGCAACAAAATACGAAATATTTCAACAGAACTATCGATCCTTACGTTTGGATGGTGAGTCTAGCTAAATCCAACGCCGAAGCAAACTTGACCTACTCAAGCTGCGTTGAAAACGTAAGAATTAGAAAAGACATTCAAAGTAACGATGGGAGGTTTAGGCTTCTGATAAAATATTGTTTGGCAAGGAGAATTGTGCATGTACCGGTGGAACTGTTGGTAAGTCTATTTGTGGTCTTTAGATAGGGTTGCTGATAGCATTTATTTCATGCTTATGGGAGAAGAATTAGCAATTCTAGTATTCTACGGTATTCAAATGGTTATTTTTTCCTTTAGAATGAAAAAATGCAACAATATTGAGTAAAACACATTTTAAAAAAATAACAAAGTGAAGTGCTACGAGGAATTATGGGATGCTCTGTAAAATAAAAACAAATTTCATTACATCCGACACGTTCATAAAAACAAATTTTGTTTAATATTTTTCGATAAAGCAAACTCTTTCTTAGAGAGACAAACTCACAGTAATCAAGAGCTACCATAACTAAACTAACAAACCTTGAATATTTATTTCATTTCTTTATATGTTATTTTATTCCCGGTAATAGTTAAATCCAGTGACATTTTGACCTTCATTATAGGTCCAATATATGAATTAAATCAGAAAACAGACGCTACCAAAATGTTTTATATATATTTTTTATTATATTACAATAGGTGTTAAAATGTTACAATAAAACAACTAACTTATATTAGTAGATAGTATTAGTTTTAGTAACAATTTTAAACAGCTCCATTTATTTTAGCAACTATCTAAAATAACTGGTATTTTATCCGGATAATTATTTCTAGGAATAAGAACTAAATGAAAATTTGCCAGTTAGTCACCAACAAGCAGTAGCGAAAATAGTATCAGTCAATAGGACTGTACAGGCTGGTCGTAATTGGAGTGCCTTAACAGAAAACACTTAATTGTGAACTAGATGTCAAGAGCTTGATTTTTGGGAAATATTTCATGGTTAAAACCGCATGGCGCTATCTTTACTTTCAACCGAGTTATACAGCGTTTTTCAATTTTCGGCTCTTTTGAAAAGTACCCATAACTTTTTTATTTACGAAAATTTTGGATTCTAATAAAAACATTATTAAGCCATTTTTTTTTCGTTTTCTCATAAATGAATACAACTTTCTCATTCTATATGTGATGAAAAAAGATGGAAATATAGGGCATTTTTGGTTTATGTACTAGTAGGCCGTCGATACTGTGTTCAACAAGAGGTCTTATAGAACCCTTTAAAATAATTTAATGAACATTATAAAACAATCAGGTCAATTTAAAGTAACTTAAGTGAAAAATACGAAATATATGAATGAATATTAATTTTAATTTTAGATATTATAATATAATCATAAATAAAACGCAATAAATATTAGAATGCAAAATATTAAAATTTAACCTTTTACATTATTTTTATTAAATTATTTTAACGTCAAATTGCCGCTCTCTTCAATACACTGAACGCACCTTTTTCGTACTGAATGGCAAATATTCACTAACTCTATAGGATTGATGGAAGCAAACGTTTCTCGAGTGACTTCCGCTAACTCTGCTTTGGTTTGGAAAATTCTTTCTTTAAATATAAGATCTTTTAATCTCCCCAATTAAAAGAAATCTACAATAGTTAGATCACACGATCTCGCAAGTTACGGAATGAGTTATCTAGTTCCAATCCAACATTATCCAAACTCTTCATTTAAACGTTGTGCGTTTTAGGTGGGGCAACGATAAAGCTGATAAAATAAATACTCTTTTCAAGAGTCAATGGCAAGCCTTCCGGACGTTGCGCTCCGCACTTCGGACATTTCCGGGATTTTGCCGCACGGGTTTGGGAACAATCGGGTGTTTTCGGAGATATTTCCCACGCCTTGAATTTTGACGTTTGTGAATTCTGACAGTCAGGTCAGTGAATGTATTCGTGTTGTTTTGCGAAAATGTACCCAAAAACTAACGGTCGTAGAAAAAGTATAGTATGCAACACGTTCGGCAAACTTTTTAACTTACTCGTTTATTAAACACTCGCTCCGCTCCTGCCAAATAAACTCGGGAGTCAAATGCCGCTTACCGCACTTGTTGCATAATATACTATAACCTATTACGGTATATTCAAAAGATAATAATAATCGTATCTGTTAAATGTTCTGACATTGCAAGGCCTACTAATATATAAACAAAAAATGCCCTATATTTCCTCCATTTTTCATCACAGATACCAACAAATCTCTATGGCTGAAAAGGGCTCGACACTGGCATTTTTTTAAGACCATAGCCAATTATGATTGATCTATTTTATAAGAAAGTTGTTTTCATTTGTGAGAAAACGGAGAACTGCAGAAAAAAATCTGATCACGCCACTGAATGTGCCTTAAAAAATGCCTCAATAATCATGTTACTAATTTTTTAAATAAAAAAGTTATGGGCAATTTTCAAATGGACCGAAAATTGGAAAACTCGCCATGCGGTTTTAACCAATAAATATTTGTCCAAAAATGAATCCTTGACATGTAAATCGATTTTGCTCTATCTAGTTCAGAAATATGGTTTTCCTATTAAAACACTTCAATTACGACCAGCACATGCAGGGAACTGTATATAAAAAAAATCATAAATATAATACTAAGAACACTAAAAAGTGTAACCGAAAAAAACTGTTTAATTAAAAACTACCTCACCAACATATTTCTCGTAATAAAATTAGGGCAAAATCAAAGTCTTAAAACTGACAGTTGACAACAACAACCGACATTAAAACTTTTTAAAACTGCTTAAAATTATAAGCTGATTTATATTTTGTCTTCATGTCAAAATAGCATATGTCTGTCTTATTTCCATTACGAATTTAAAAACCGCACCTTAAAGATCGGTTTTGTCTATAGACCAGAATTAATTTTAAGAGAAGGTTTAAGAGAAAAAGAAGGTTTTGATCTATATCTATAAAATATTGTTCCTGCTACTACTATACTACACTACTATACTATACTACTATATATACACAATTATGCCCTAATCAGGTGTGCGTAAACACTTTGCTATCCACTTCGAGCATTTCCTGTATTGTAGAAACAGTTTTGGAACTCCTTTAGACTAAAGTGTCGTTTTGATGCAGAATATACATTAGTCACGAGTTTGTTTAGGTGTGAGTGTACGAGTGCTCACTAAACGAGTGACAGAAGAAGTTGGAAAACTGTTGCAGACTTTATTTTTTCTACTATCATTAGTTTTGGGGTACATTTTTACAAAATAGCACGAATACATTCATTAAGTGACGTATGACGTGACTATCAGAACTAACAAACGATACAATACCGGCAATGTTTGAAATCTACCGAAAACTTCCGATCGCTCCCAACTCGTGACTAAAGTACCAGGAACGCTAGAAGTGGCTCGTGACAGTGTTTATCAATCATTTTATCAATTTTAGGTGAAAACTAGAGAGGTGCATTACTTGTATTCGACGGATTCAATCATCGGAGACGAAATATTATCGGAAATATTTCTGTCTGCATTGAAACCGGTCTCAAAAATACCATTCATTTTTAAATTAACCAACTCGTCGTTTTTAGACTGCACTTGGTATATCCCGAGAATATTGGATTTTGAGTTAGTACCGTGCAAAAATTTGGGAATCAGCGTGAGGTAACTACCCGATCAAATGGTAAAACGGGTTTCTAATGATGGCAATATATCCAAATAACTACAGACACGAAAATATCTCAGCTCCGCCTACATGGAAACTGTGAATTGAAGTCCCTCACTATATTAGTAATAATAATAAGTAATAACAAGTTTAAGGTGTTGTTTTTGCTCATTAACTTAATTCCAATTTTTGGACAATTTAAAAATTATATCAACACCGAAGAAATATTTTATAATTATACTTTATAATTACTACCTTTATAAAGTCCTAAAATTAAGAATATAACATCATAGTGAATAGTTATTTAATTATTTAGATAAAATAAAACAAATAAAATTGCAGAAGACAATTATATATTAATTATAAATTATTATAAATTATATCATAAATGATTTTTATGCGCTTAGAATATGACGTGTCCCTTGGATGTAAAGTCATTGTTTCCTTGATTAATATGAACAAATAAAAAACAAAAAGATATTGGTCACAGACTGCCTCGCGTTTCCATTGGAAAAACGAGGCATGCACTTAATTGGAGAAAGTATTAACGTATTATTGGCGCCAATCTGCGACCTCTGTTACGTTGGGTCAGCGATCGAGGCTGTAGTTTGATAAATTAAGTTTTATTGAAATATCCGATTGAGATTTTTTCGCTGTTAATAAACTTGAATTGGTTTGAATTTAATACGTTTTATAGATTGATTAGATGAGAGCAAATATTTACTTTACTAATCAACCACTGTATAATAGAAAAGTGATCAAGATTAAAAGGTAAAAAATTGAATGGTACAAGCAAATAACATTGCGAATGCTATCTCGGTACGAGTATTCCCTATAAAGTATGTCCCAGAAGACGACGATCAAACTTAAGGGAGAAGAAGAAGTCATTTAGAATCAAAATAACTTTAATTGTCTTTGTCTAATTGTTGTCCAAAAAATTTTAATTTTTGTTTTCTTTTTGGCTAAAATGTATGGTATTATTTTTAATCATGACAGATAAAAACGTGGATTTAAAAAAATATTTATTTTCAAAAAAATGACATTTTTGCCATCAGAAAAAAATTATGTAATATACTGTATTCCAAACATTATTTAATATATGAGAATGTTTTTGTTTTTTATTGTAAAACACTTTTCTGTTGACATTTCGAATTTGAGAAGTGAGAATATTTTTTTTGTGTGTTAACCTTAAGGTTATTAATTAAACTGAACTTTCAAGAATGTTTGCCTCCTAACTTCAAAAAAATTTTCAAATTAAAGTGTATAAGATTGAAAATATTCTATCTTCGAAATATTAGAATATTTTCTTACTCTAAAACACCCAACTTAAAGACTCCTGCTTCATTTTTAATTATCGAGAGCAACTTCTGGTGTTTGCGGTACTTTGGTTACGGGCTTGCCAGCGATCGTATGTTTGCGGTAGATTTTAACTATGGTATTTTGACGTTTGTCGGTTCTAATGGTCGTAGAAAATCTAATGGCGTTAATCAAACTTTTTGCATAATATACTGTTAAATTTAGAACACTTTAAATAAACATTTAACGTTGGGTACATTTTTTTATGGCGGGTGAGTTTTCTAGAGGAAAATGTCATTGCATCCGTTATAGTATATTATGTAACAAGTTTGAGTATCGTGGCTTTGGTCACGAATTTGATTTGACACGATCTAAGCGAATGCACAATGAACGAGTCACTGAAGAAGTTTATCCTATTCCATACTTTTTCAACAACCATTTACTGCGTGACGCCTACCGAAAACACCCGATCGTTTCCAGTCCGGTAACTAAAGTACCGAAAATGCCCGAAGGGGCTGACAACAGTGTTTAGCAAAGCTGACTTCTGAAAGTGACAGTTGATCAGCGTGTTATTTATACAGGGTTATTCACCTATCTTGATATACTATAAGAACTATATACTTTTTAAGAAATTTGGCAACACATAATCCGATATAAAATAATAATTTTTTTCGCAAGCCGTACAGTTAAACACTTGAATTTTTGGGTGCTGTTATCTATTAAATTGCTTTATCATAATATATATATATATATATATATATATATATATATATATATATATATATATATATATATATATATCACGTACAGGACGTCCATTAAATAAAGTCCGATTGGCAAGATATAAAAATCCATGTTACGTAGGAATTTTAAATGATAAAATTTGCTCTCTAAAAGTACCAAACTATGGTATATATATTTCAACTGTTTTTTGAGTTATAAGCAAAACACCAAAAAGTCTACATGAATTCGGCTTTCTTGTTTTATCGCATTTTCATAGTTAAAAGTTGTATTTATTTGAGAAAGCAAGATGGCACATAATTATGCAAACGCAGATATTTTGAATTTGTTTTACATTTGTGGTGAGTGACAAACAATTGTTTCAGGAACGTGCAGAAGATTTAATATGAGACAGGCTTTTCAACAACTAGATCCAAACGAAATTCAAAGGGCACCAGTTTTCATTGTTATGAAGTCAATGAAGTTTAGCGGTACGGGTTGCGAAAAAAATTTGTTGTTGCAAATTTCTTAAAAAGTATTTTTTATCTGCGAAAATGGTCAAGATAGGTAGGGTACATGTTACATACAAAAGTTCCAGAATATTTCGCAGAATCTAAAAATTTAATAATATATAGGGTGTTTTATTTAAAAAACGAAAGTTGATATGCGTTACGAGTATATCTGGCAACTCCGCACGGCCAAAAATATTTTACATAGGTAGCTCATATTCGCTTACATAAGTAACCAGCATTTCGGGATTCTACTGTAAATCATTCTCCATAAAATTCTAACACAACGCTCACCGTGAATAACCCTGTATATTTATTTATTTAAAATCTTTATTGTAAACTTTACAAATGGCGAAGTTTAGTCTTACGATTGCTCATACTTAACCATCTATGACATTTTACCTTAATACAAAAAACTTTAATTTTAACAAGCCATATTAATGTGAAGATTTGCGTTAGAATTTTATTAATTATTAATTAAGAATAGAAGCCTACTACCGCACTGTGGATATCTGAGCCGCGAGCAAATAGCCTTTGAGCTCTACACGAAAGCTTGTCGAGGGTTAAATTTTGAAGAAAAGGCTGAACATTAATATACATTACAATAGCGGTATAAATAAAGCTACACCGATGTCATGTGGATTTGAAAAATTGTTAAAGTTCCGTAGATGGCGCTGACTTCTGTGTGCTGTTTATATAGTGGGGTGCAGAAGTAAGAAGTAATTTACTAACAAATACCGTCAGGTGATACTGATAAATGTTTTCAGTTCAGAGCCAACCAGTGGAGTTAATTTTTTTGGACACCATATTTTCTAAGCCTGAAAATAAACCTAGAATAATCATAATGAAGCTTTTATAACCGATTCTTGTACTATATTGACATAATTTAATAAGGACAAGACTAAGGATTGGATACTTTAGAGTGGGGAGTGTTTAAAAATTTAACAAACTGTTTCACATCACATCACATCCTCAAGAATGAAGTGTAAACCAAAATAATAACTGTACGGCTTGCGAAAAAATTTATTATTTTATATCGGATTGTGTGTTGCCAAATTTCTTAAAAAGTATATAGTTCTTATAGTATATAAAGATAGGTATGGTACATGTTACATAAAAAAGTTCCAGAATGCTTAGCAGAATCTAAAAATTTAATAATATACAGGGTGTTCCATTTATAAAACGAAAGTTGATATACTTTACGAGAATATTTGGGAACACCGAATGGCGAAATATATTTTACCGTAACTGATTCTCTATAAATGTCTAATAGGAGACCCACCATGAATAACCCTGTATAAATAACACGCTGATCAACTGTCACTTTCAGCAGTCAGCTTTGCTAAACACTGTTGTCCAGCCCCTTCGGGCATTTTCGGTACTTTAGTTACGGGACTGGAAACGATCGGGTGTTTTCGGCAGGCGTCACGCAGTAAATGGTCGTTGAAAAAGTATGGAATAGGATAAACTTCTTCAGTGACTCGTTGTTCATTGTGCTCATTGCGCTTAGCTCAGTAGATATATGTATGCTTGGGGACATCCCCACTCCTCTCCCTTTTGTGGGCGTATCCTCCTTCCCCACGACTCTCTAGCTCCTCCGCCTTTACCCATAATCCCTTGAAACTGGTCCCCATTGGATAAGCAACCAGAAATGCGGTTTAATCAATCTCCCCACCTCTAGTTTGCGATGGCGGCGAAGCCAATCAGAGCCCAGATATTTTCCCACCGTATGAAAAGCAATGGCGTCAATGAGACTTGATCATATTGTTCGCGTGACCATCTGCACCCTCTAGCGGTTCGAATGTAATTTAGTGTCCCCTCTTGGAATAAGATTTTCTTTAATAAGGTAACCCCACCTAGTGAATATTGACCAAAACATTTATTTTAAAAACATATAATTCTGCGAATGTGTACCCTCGCGGGTACAAACTGTACTTTTATTGCGCACAAAGGACAGGGGAAATAAAGACGAAAAGTGTTGGATTTCTTTTCTCGGAACTGGAAGCTGGCAGGCACCACCAATAATATCTGCAAAACAAAAAAGCTGGTTAAAATTTTCATTAATAAAGTAGGATATTAGAAACCGTATACCTTTTTAATTTACTAAGCCATCTACCGTGCGTTAACTTCATACATATTTCCGCATGCTTCTGTTTTAAGGTATCGTGAAATATTTGACTATTTATCTGGGAAAAGTTCATATGTCGAAAATATTATGGGTATGTGGCCGTGGTAGGCTTTCTTTGCTATTATAATTTTATTTTTATTATTTAATATTTACAAAATTAATTTATCTATCTTATTGATGATTTTGATTTTCTTTGCTATTTTTATTATTTAATATTTTCAAAATTAATTTATCTATCTTATTGATGATTTTAAGATATTGCAGTCAACTTTGCTATTTCATCAATTTCTTTTATTTATTGCTGATCTTTGAGGATAGTGTACATACTTTTTTTTCGTAACTTATCTGTATCTACCCTTTAATTTCCTATCAAGCCATAAAGCAAACTCGAAAGGCATCTTAACTAAAAAGTCATATACTTTAAATCTCAACAACAATGAAATCTGGACGCTTATATTAAATACTGTAATACTCTTCTCTGCTAACGCTCTAGGAGACGCTATTTGAACCCTGTTCAAAGAAAAACTTCTACAGCCCAAATAACCTCTCTGAACCACACTTAAGCGCATCACTCTTTCACTGTCTTGCAGCCTTCAGATTAATATTCCGTACTAACTACGTATGCCATACACGAAACGTTCTCTTTTCTAATTTTTTTCTATGCGCTACATTAACGAACAGGATCTAAACTTTTCTGTCTGTGTATTTTGTTAGCCACCTTAAAAAAATTAAAAAAAAGGTATGCGAACCTAGAGGATATTTTCCATATTTTTCACAAATGGTGACAACAATTAATGCAAGTATTATTTTTAATAATAATCCATCTTTCGCTATGACACGAAAACATCGACTTTTTAATTCTAACTTTTCTCATAGAGCTTCCCTTTAGTCTCTATCTGTTCTTTAACTAAATCCCCACCTTTTTGAAAAACCAACCTCTAAAAATAGTTAATTTTCTCTAATTTAAATTTGTACGTTTTCCGCAATATGTGTGAATATTTTCGCTAGAGCATTTAGTTACTTAGTACATGTCCTAATCAATATTTTAAAAATATAATTCTATTGATACGTGTTTAGGATTTGAAGATAACGAAACATTCCCCAGTTTCATAAATGAGAGCTCACTGCCAAACTACCAAACATCACAGTACAAACTACCGTACTACGCCCCCCTGGACAAAATCAGGTCAGTCAGCGTCATTAATTCTACATGCGTTAACGAATAGCGTATTGTTAATTAAGGTTTAATACGCAGAAAATTTAAGTAACAAATAATCGCAA